ATGTCGATGAATACACGCAGATATTAAAAGCGAAATTATGTTAGGATACTAGGAAGCGAAATCATATTGTAAAATTTTTTATACGTCACTGAAGATGGCTAAAAAATAGCCGAAACGTTTGACTTATTGTTAGAATAAAGTAAATTTTTCAGAAATAAATTAATGCGTACCAATTATAACCACGCTGATTCCCATCTGCCTTACTCATATCTACTTAGTTTAATCATTAAGCCTATACATGTTTCAAATTTTAATTATTAAGCCTGACATACTAACAGTTTGAAGATGACATACTTAATTAATTTTTTAATTTGTTTAAAGTCGCGAACACTTTTCCAATGTGTACATCTTTTAAATAGTTTTATAAATTTAAATTGTGTTATAAACAGGATGTAAGTGTACATTTTATAAAAACAATTTTTATATTAATAAAATAAATTAAACAAAAAATATTAATACAAAGAATTATAAATATAAATGAAAAGAAAATAATTGTTTCTTTATCAAAAAAATGTAAAAAATATAAATTTATAACATAAATACATAATTACAGAATACAAATATGTAAATTCAAATTCTTTGCACAAAATTTAACCATTAATTTAAACAATAAAAAATAAATGTACCTGTTAGTGGTTATATATAAATCCTTTGATATCCAGTATTTCGCACTGTGGTCCTATCGTTGAAATCAATGATTTTGTTCTACTAATTTTTTCCTTGGACTGCTGCAGCGAGTAATAACAGATAGTATAATAACTGAAATAATAACAGCCTTCAAAAAGTTGATCGATGATTTTGTAGTAAAATGTTTATTATTCCAATCCTTTTCTTTGTAACTACTTAGTCGTCCGCTCTTATTTTACAGTTTATACTTGTAATTTCGATGTCTGCAAGAGTCTTGAGGAATGCAAAGAGAATAAAGTCAGTAATAGTGTAAACGATTACTATGAGTGTGAGATAAAAAACATATTTTTTATGAGGAAAAAATAAGAAATTCAAAATAAACATAATAATACAAAAAAAATGCAAAATAGATAATTTAGCAATCTACACAATATGGTCCGTGTTCCAATGTGTACTGCCAGTACTGAAAATCTACAATATACGTAACATGAACTATAGATTTTCAATACTGGCAGTGTATATCGAAACACAGTTTTAATAGCTGTACCCAACGAAATTTGCAATTATGTAGACCAAAGGCTAAATTTTACATATTTTAAGAGATTTCTACTTAATAAATGACATGATTTTTTTATAAAATGCTTACTCTTGTACTCATATATTTAATAAAGGAACTTAATAGAAATCTTTTTTCTATAAAATTTAATGGCAATTAAATATATTGGCATTGTCTATTTTATTATGCAAGAAGATAAAGTTAGATAGTGAGTACAATGGAAGAATTTAAGTACAGGAATAAATATAAAAATTTCAATGTATCAAAAACGTGTATTGTGGAATATGTGATTTCTGATAGATTAAAATTCTTACATTGATTCCTATTTTTAATTTTCTCCACTTACGGTATTACGAATGTCTTGATATTTTATATATTCTTATATTGAACTTTACATTTACTATACAATTTTTATTATAACCTCCAAGAATATAACCTATCTCTAAGTTACACATATTACACTAAGTTTCATCATATAAGTATTTAACGAATATTATAAGTATAAAGCTCATTTATACAAATATTTCCGATTTTTATGTAATATTACACAATATTAAGTAAAAAAGAAATATTTACCTTTAATATAAATCACATCAGCTTATAATTTTCGTTACTTTTCCTCTTGCAATGACACTCACAATAAGATTATTCAAGACAAGAAGACAGCGTTTAAAGCAACAAGTTCATCATTGCATGAATTCAATGCTTTCTTGCTCGTTTTCGACGCCTTTCTTACTGCGAAGACAAAAATTCGTTAACTGCTGAACTGCGTAGAAAATCGAAAGAAGATCGGGATCGGAAATTACATATATGCAGATCACGATTGCCAACTTGCCAACTTGCTACTTTTCCAGTTTTTAGGAAACTTCCGGCTTTTCGAACTCAAATCCTGGGAACTGATAAACGGAAAAAAATCTAATCGTTCGATCTAAATTAGGATAACTGTTTTTTAGAGCAAACTCTGAGAGTAACAATTTCGAGAGTGGTATAACCTTCTGCAAGAAGGCCGTCGGTTTCCAACAAAACACTATTAGTCGAAAGGTGGCGCGCTTTAATACTGTATTTTATATTGTGAGTATGTTTTGAAAATGTACCACAAATATACGCAAGAT